GTATACATACAATACCAATATATATATACGTGTATATAGAGGGAGAGAAAGGACTGAGACCAGCATCTAATGCACCACAAAGAGGCAGCCAACCACTTAAAGATTAAGTGCAGATTCAGCCAGGCGCGACTCGAGCGAATGGGAGCAAGTTAAGGCAAAAGCCAGGCAGCAGACTGGGGGAAGGCAGAGAGGTAGAGAGGCAGGGGGGCACTCTGAAGGCTTAGAAGTGGGGGCAAAGCTGCTTGCCAAAGTGCGGATTGGGGCAGATTTGTTGGCTGGCTGAGCTGAGAGCGATGGGGTTGTGGGAGGGAGACTCGCTTTGGGTTCACTCAAACAAAGCTAATTAACAGATTTGTCAGCTTTTCATCACTTCGCGCACGGCCATTGTCTTACGACAGTTGTTTGACTTTTGCACTTTTTTAAGAGACAAACAAAAAACAATGAGCGACGCACAACAACAACGAAAGGCAAGCCAGCAACCTGGTCGGGGGCGTGACTGAAAAAAAGTAACTGCAAAGAATGCAAAGTATTGTACACAAAGTGCGCCCAGACGATACGGGTATCGACACACACACACACACACATATATATATATTGAGAAGAAACTCCTTCAATTGCTAATTACAAAGGGAAGAAAGTTGGTTACAAAAGTCGGTGGGTGGCAGTGGGAGGGATTTGTGGAACTTGGCAACTTGTTAGGCCAGCAATTTAACTGGAAATTTATTAGAGACGAAACAGCTGGCAGCAGCAAACATTACAAGCTAATTGGCCCAGTTAACAGAAATGTGGGCCGGCAAGTGCGCATCACAGACTTTAAAACCAACTAAACTAAAACTAAAACTGAAAACCAAAAACCAAAAACCAAAAACCAAAACCAACGGCGAGCCAAGCGCAACGCACCAAAGACGAAGGCTATAAAAGAAAAAAACAAAAAAAAAAAAAAAAAAACAGAGAATACAGAAGATCAACCCAACGAATAAGAAATGCACTATGCATTACATAATGCAATAAATGCGGGATGATCTATATTAATACTGCATATTGTCAAGCAAAACCAAGCTCAAGTCAAGAGACTGTAACAGAGTAAATATTTACATAGATACCGCTTCGCCACATCTTCGCCAACACAATGCGAATACCCTGTAAATAAAGAGTATCACGAATGCAATCAAAGTTTTCGTCTGCTGCAGCGCCACAGAGTGTGGCTGGTGTTTTGGTAGGGCGACGCTAGTGGCGCAGGAGGTGTTAAGGCAATAAAACAAATTGGGTTCTGGACTAGCTCCACTTCAGCGGGGAGGGGAGGAGGGTTGAGCCTGCGCCACGGCAGTAACTTTTCAATCTCTGCCAATGCAGTGAAACTTTAGACGCAAGAATTGGAACGTAAAGCTAGTCCACCCCACATTAAACCAAACTCAATTGATATGTATGGCCGGCAGCTACAAAGTGGCGGAGAGAGGGCGGGGAGGATGTGGGCAAACTTGGTGCGAACAACAACTGACACAAATTGCAAACTCATTAAATTAAAATTATATTTAATAACCGCGAGTGCACGCAGCGCTAAACGATTTATACGCTAAAAAACAAGCTAAATAAAAACAACAAAAAAAAAAAAAAAAAGAAAAAAGCTGAAGAAATTGCTAGACCATTCATCTGCAATTTCTGCTACTTGCTAAAAACCCGCAGTTAACCATCCGTTCCATATATTTCCGTTACAGTTCCAGCGCCACCGCCGCTGCCCTCGTTGGTGCCAAAGGCTCCACCACCGCCCCCGCCGCCATTGGCGCCCGGCGAGAAGCGGGTGCTCAGCGAAACGCAAAAGCAAACGCTCGAGAAGCTCAAGTAAGCAAGAACAGCATCCTGGCATATCTCAGGACTTGAGACTAAACCATCATTTATTTCACCCTCACACAGGTCACGACCACGCAGACGGCCCGACTGGTCCGAGATGATGAAGGAGGTGGAGAGCGGCAAGAAGCTGCGCCATGTGGCATGCAACGACAGGTGAGCAGCACTCATTAGCCACTCACTCGGTGCTCCATGGTGGTTTACAAATGAATGAACGGTCAGCCCCAACAATCGATTACAAATTAGTGAGTCGCGCCGTGCAAACGCTGTATAACTGCCACCTTAAGAAATAATAGCAGCTCACTTTATCCTTCGGAATCCTTTGGCATTCAAATTAATCTGAGCAGGCAATGAGAACCGTAGACCGAACTGCTAAAAAATCGCATCAATTTATGCTGAGCTATGATGGTTTAAAAAGTTTTTCTGGATTCATAGACAATGATTGGAAACCTTTTTTTTTTTTTTTTTTTTTTTTAATAGAACTCATATAGAATATGCAAGTTATTACAATAACTCATATCATAACTAATTTGCGCAGTAATATAATAATAGCTAAAAGTTTGACTTAGCTCAAAAAATATAAAAAGAGCACACCTAACTTTTAAAATATGTATAATCAAAAAAAAAAAAAAAAAAAAAAAAAAAAAAAAAAAAAAAAAAAATTGGGGAAAATCGATTGAAAAAGCTTAAAAAGAGTTCACATAAAAAATTAATGGGCTATAAAAATTTAAGTATTAGAAAAAGAATTTACTGGGAATTCTTTTGTATAGCTAACAAAAATAATCAGCATAGGAACTTGTTCAAAATCGTATTATAAAAAGAGTCATAAATTTGTTAGAATAATTCTGCAGAAGTAAGGAATACTTGGAGATAAACCAGAACAAATGCTAAAAAAAAAAATTCAATTAAAAAAAATTTATTTAGCCATTCGATAGCTAACTTGAGCCCCTTTCACTGCAGATCTCAGCCCATATTGACATGCAAATCGATGACCAAAGTGGACGATAAATTCATCTATGAAACAGAGAAGGACAACTCGCACAACAARCTGCTCAAGCAAATCCAGGGCGGCGTTCGRCTGAGGCCCACGCAGACAAACGATCGCAGCAAGCCCATATTGGAGGGTCTGCGCAAGTTCGGACGCCAGATGACCATCGAGGAGCAGCTGCACAAGTCCCTGTCCAAGGTCAATATGCTGAGCGAGGCGCCCAGCAGCCATGCGCTGAACAGTGCGAACAGTGGGTCGGCGAGTGGTGCGGGCAGCTCCAGGCCCAGCATTGTCTTGACCATGTCCATCGATGAGGAGAGTCCCGATGAACTGGACGATATCGACAAGTTGCGTGACGATTTGCAGAGCACCAAGCAGATGCTGGCGCTGGAGCTGCGCAACCGTGAGGCGCAGGAACGTGAGAACAAGAAGCTCTTGGCCAAAATACGTACGCTCGAGACGGAATTGGAGCGTGAGAAGTCGCGCGAAAAGAATCTCGAGTACGGCTCCAATGTTATTGTAGCCACCATGGACCCCACGCCCACATCCGAGCAGGCATATGTCAACTCACTGAAACGTGAGGTCGAGGACGCGCGCAAGGTGTCCAAGGAGGTGGAGAAGAACTATCACGACACGGGCAAACTGCTAGTCGAGGCGAAAACAGAAATCGAGGAACAAAAGCGACAGATACAATTGCTCGAGCGCAAATTGGCAGCTGCTTTGCAGGTAAGCGACAGCCCAATCCTGCTGGCAGGCACTGTGGGCGGGGGCGGGCGTGGCACAAGTCGCACAACATGCCGCGTGTGTGTTGTCAGCTGTTGTTGTTGTTGCTCTAGTCGAAGTCAGTTGAAGCCAGTTGTTCTTGTTGGGGTCATAACCCACACATGTATCCACATTTTCAGCGCCGCCTGTGCCGCCGCCTCCCGAGCGACAGCTCAGCCTGAATGCAAAGAGCCAAAGAAAATCATCTTAAAAAACCAGCTAACAAAGCAATCGCAATTAGTCGCTTTCGCAATGATTGTACTTGTACTTGTAGTTGTAGCTGTAGTAGTTGTTGTTGTTGTTCTAGTTGTAGCAGCACACACGATAAATAATTACACATCAGCTGACAACACGACACACAATTTTGATACCTCCGAGGGGGGGCTTGCTGAGACGTAATGCGGGCTGCTGATATTCCAGCGCCAATTAGCGCCATTCTCTATTGAAGTGTTTTTTATTTACAATTTGTTTTTGCACGAGTCCCGCTTTTCCTTTTTAGTTTGCTCTTTCTTGTTTGCTTTCTTCATCTCTTGTCAACTAAGCCCCTCTATCAACTTCTTTGCTTTCCCATAGCCTGCACTATTTTCTATACAGCTATTCCTTTCTGACACCCCTCTCTCTTTCCCTGCCTCTACTGTCTCTCTCTATCTATCATCAATTTAAGTTCCCCTCGCATGTTTCTACTCTTACGTCTAACTGTGCATAACACCTCCTTGGTTGCTCATTCCATCTACCATTTAGATCTTCACTATGTACCTCTCTCACTCTCTCTCTCTCTCTATAGCCTTAACTTGCTATACCTTACTTAACCATATATGCATACATGTCACTCATATCATTCGTTTCTTGATTCCATTTACATTTCATCTTTATAACGATTTCATTCTCTATCAAACCTTTCTATTGCTTATCACACTCTCCTTCCGATTTATTATCGCATTCTCTCCCAATATATTTCTCTCACATAGAAGACCTTTTCGCTCTCAAATATGCTTGTCTATGTGATTCTTCAGGCTTCAGTTGATATTTACGTTCCAATCGGTAACCCCAACGATGTTCCTAAAAATGTCCCAAATATTACTGCATTCTCTTCTATACTTTTCTCTCATATACAAGTCCCACTCTCGGCATTTCTGCCCTTTTATATGATCGGTAACCCCAGCTATGTTCTCAGCTTCTCTCCTTCGCAGCCTCTCATAATGTTGTGCGCACTTGACATACACATCCACTATTTTGGTAATATTAAGAATATCGATATAGAAAGACAAACAAAGACAAATGCTTTGGCTTCTACTCTGAATCCGCTTACTAAAACCGTTAACCGATTTAACCAACCCAATCGCTGTTTATATAAGGCAAATACGACACCAAGCACTAACAGACCGCGCATTAGTTTTCGCTTTGCTTACGACGACGAGGACGAGGACGATGATTACTACGGTGAGAAGGGGAGCAATCATAAGGTAATGCCCATAGTTGGATTCGATCAGGTCTAGCCAGTGACGACGAGATTTCCTAATGCTCTCATATATATTGTGAATGTAGGGCGGCACATTGGATGGCTCGAGAAGACCGAGCGATCCACTTTTCGGACGCGACAGCTCACCCGAACTGGAGCTGGAGTTGAGCGAGAGCGATCCCGATGAGCCGGAGGAGAAGAAGACAGAGCGACGCGAGCGACGAATGGGCAAGGAGGTGAAGGTGCTGCGCAGCAAGCTAACCAAACTGAAGGTCAAGGAGGAGGCGGCCAAGAAGGAGAAGGATGCACTGAAGCAAGCCATGAAGAAGAATCATGTTATACTCAAGTAAGCATTTATAAATAAAGACATGCCTTCGTTATTAAGATTTCGATTCGGCAGAGAGGAGAACAAAAAGTTCAAAAAACTGGAGAAAGAGGTGCAAAAGATGGCCGCATCGATGAAGCTGGACGAGGACGAGATCGATGCCGAGGACAAAGAAGAAGAGGAGGCAGCCGAAGAGGAACAGGAGGAGGAAGAGGAAGAGTCCGAGGAGGAGTCAGAAGAATCCGAATCAGAGGAGAGCGAAGCAGAACCGGACAGCGAATCCGAAGCAGAAGTGAGTGCAACATAAAATTTTTTGAAATATGTATATAAACCAATTTATATGTGAGATGCGCAACGCCGACGAGCACCGAAGTCCATAGTCATACTATAGTTACATACATATATAAATATACATATATGTATATATGTCGACTTACCTCTTTCTTTCTAGGATGCTCCCAATTCCGCCAAGAAGAGCAACTTGGAGCCGCGCGTGAAGAAGCACGAGAGTCGCTTTGCGGCAATGAAGAAATGCAATGTGCTGCTGCAGGCGAACGTGGATAATTTGCAGGATCAAATTTCACAGGTGCGCTCCAGGGCTACCAATCTGCAAGATGAACTGGATGCGGTGATTGCCGATTTGGGTTTCTAGGCCCATGAGTCACAATATGAAGAAGATGAACAACAACAGCTGCAGCTCCCGAGTAAAAAATGAATCGAATGTACAACGTGTTTGTTTACTGTTTGCGTAGTGTTCCTTTTTTCAATGTATTTAAATATAATTATATTATCGACATATGTAAGTTCAAGGCACACTATGTATGTATTCACAAGCACATCAAACACTTTTGCAAATTGGTTGGTTAATTTTGTATTTTAGTTATTTCCTTTGCTCACCGGCCAATTGCGCGTTGTTTTGTTTGTTTTATGAGTACTTATTGCGTTCGAGTACTTTTTTTTGTTGTGGCAACCGGTGGCGCCGACGCGTTGCTAGCAGAGTAATTAACACTGAGAGGTTGCGCTATGTTAATCAACTGTTATTTGCATGACCTAAACATGAAGATGTGACGTCAAAAGTACTTCTGACTCGCCATGTATACATGTATCGCAAGGGCCAACATCTGTTGTCGCTGCATACCTGCTTGTAGACGTATTTTGAGTATATAATTGTTTATTCTGTTGCTTTAATGCACTTGCTCCGCTGAGATAACCAGTGGCGCCGACGCTCTGCTAACAGTTTACACACAAATTTGCGCTATGTTAACCGCCTGAAAATACTGAGTACTTAAAATGCACACGAAACATGAAACACGAATCGAATAGGCAAGTATCGAAACTCGCACAGCTGTTGCCGTAGCTGCTACGGTAGCGCCCTCTATGGGAAATCTCAAGAAGCTACAACGACTAGAAATCAAAACTCCGTTTAGCGGACTTTTTAAATTAGTATTTATTAATAAGATTTTGTCGAAATACTTTAGTATAAGCATGTATAACAATGTACAAAACAACAACTCAATGAATTCGGCTAAACTAAACCATTAGTTTTATGTATATATATATCATAGTCATATGTATGTATGAATATTTGTTGATGGTATGAGTATCACGCTCGAACTTCAAAACTTTATGCCTATATATGTATATGAATGTAAAGGATGTGGATATTTATATAATGCGTCTATTTCTTTAAGTTCTAAGCTGAGCTCTATCAATAATCCAAAGTCTAAGTCGTGTATATGAATTAGTTATTCGTATCGTAGTTGGTTGAGCATTGTTCCCCGATGCCCAAATGCGAGTTTGATTTGAAACGATTTGAGAAACCACTAAAATAACTAAAGCATTCCATGAACCACTACAACTACAGCAACTATTTTGGTCTACTCCATCAGTATGAGACGCAAGCGCTTACGCAGAGACGATTCTCGTGGCAAGGTCATCGCCCATTTCTTCATTGCCGTCAAAATCACGGAGCTGACGACCATCAGGGCGCCGCACAGGGAATACCCGTTGGGCGCCTCGCCAAAGAAGAGGATTTGCCAGATGAAGGCGAACACGATATCGGCACAGCGTGCAATGGCCACTGGACCGGCCTGCTCCACCTGCAGCGAGAGCGTCAACAGGATCTGGCCCAAGAAACTGAAGATGCCCAAGACGACGACGAGCCAGCGATCCCGTCCACAGCTTGGCCAGCAGACGGCGCCAATCGCGCCGCACACAATCAGAGTGTATACGAGAGCAATCGCTCCAAAGTTCGTCATAATCACAGAGAAGTGAAGATTCTTCAGAGCGCGCAGCAATATATAGACATTGGCACCGAACAGCGTCGAGGATATGGCAGCAACTGGTCCCCAGATATCATATGTTTTATCCGAATACTTTTCACTGTCCAGATCCGGCGTCGCCTCGCCGAAGACCAACGGTGGCCGAGTGATTAGCACCACGCCAAGGAGCGTCATATTGATGGTCAGTACATTGAAGAGGGTGCACGGCTCCTTGAGGAAGGCCCTTGCGAAGATCGCAACGAACACAGGTGTGGAGAAGATGATGACGCTGGCATCGGCCAGGGGCATGTGCCGAAACGCATAGAAGCTGAGCATCAGGCCCGTGGTGCCCATGAAGCAGCGCAGCAGGAGGATGACACGTTTGCCCTCCGGGAATACTGGCTGCTTGGTATAGATGAGTATTGGGATGGTGGGCAGAAGAACGCCCACAAAGCGGAACGAAGCCAATTCCATGGGATTGACATCGACCAGGCCCTTGACAATCACCGAGCACAGCGAGAAGAATAGCGAAGAGAGCGTAGCAAGTATTATTCCCAAATACGGGCAATTTACGCGCGTTTTTATCTGTTCCATCCATTGATTTGATATATCTCCCGCTCGCGTTCCGTCCTCAAATTGATGCAATTCCAAGTTCTCTGGCATTATGCCGCTTTCTTAATTAAACTAAACTACTTTTCGATTCAATGACACATTCTGCAAACATTTTAAATGTTAGATACAAAGCGTCACAAAGTACCGTTATTGAACTATGTTACCTTTCTTTTTTTGATTGCGCTGGAAAAATCGATTTTTCAACTGGACAGCAGTGTTTTTGGAAGCATGCAGCTACGGCTGCGAAAATACATTTCTTAACTTATCATGACTAATTGAGTTTACCGAGACTAATAGTTGTTATTAATTATGGTTATATACAGTTTTTCATACACAATCATTTGATTAAGGCTCGCACAATATTATAAATTAATTAACAGCTGGCCGCGCTGTCGGTTAACAGTGACTGTTAAAAAGGCTGCCAATCTGCTCGAATGTGAACAAACAATGCATACCAAGTGAACAGAAAAACAAACTGTTATCGATTGCTTAAGCTACATAGGAAAATGTATAAGTTCAGTTCGTGACATAATAGAGTACCGAAGTACTCTAGTTAAACTTTGATTTCAAAAAATATTTCGCATCAAAGCATGCGACGCAAAATCGTGGCTCCTTATGAAACAATTCTATATATCATTTAAATTTTTTTTGGGCGGCACGGCGAGTAGGCTGCGTTTACATTCTTTATCGGTCAATCGGGGGCGTAGTTTATTGTAATTTCGATATATTTGGTAATTTCATCAACACTTTTCGAGTTCGACTTAGCCATGAGCAACCAAACCGTTAACACCAACACCAAGCGCTGGGCCCTGCTCGCCGCTAGTCTGGGCCTGGCCTATGTGCTCGTGCGGCACAGGCAATCGATTTGGGGCGTATTGGGACGCAGTCCCTTTCAGCTACAGCATAAACGCATTGAAGTTATCAGCTCGGTTAACGAGTCACAGCGCATTCTAAATGAACTTAAGAGGTAAGTAACCGTAAATTGAAATAATATTATATGAAAATATGCCTCCACATATCTGCAGCCATTGCGAGTCATTTAAAGTGATTGGCTTTGATTGTGAATGGATTACTGTAGGCGGCACACGTCGACCTGTTGCTTTGCTGCAGCTGAGCTCCCACAAGGGCCTCTGCGCCCTATTTCGCTTGTGCTGCATGAAGCAAATACCCAAGGATTTGCGTGAATTGCTCGAGGATGATGCCGTGCTTAAGGTAGGCGTCGCACCACAAGACGACGCTATGAAGCTATCACATGATTATGGTGTTGGCGTTGCCAGCACCTTTGATTTGCGCTACATGGCTGTCATGGCCGGGCACCAGGCCGAAGGCCTCGGCAAGCTATCACAAACTCATCTCAATACTGCGCTCGACAAGAATTGGCGTCTCGCCTGCTCCAACTGGGAGGCTCCACAGCTGGATTCCGCACAGCTTAATTATGCGGCCAATGATGCACTGGCCGCTGTTGCTATTTTTCAGAAGTTATCCAAAGATCTGGAACCACGTACCTTTTGGGACTGGCGTGCTCCGAAATTCGAGCAGTTGCGCCCAAAACTTGAGCCATTTCTAGATGTAGATTTTACTAAAGGCTTTGTCTCTGGCCTCGGCAAGACCCTATCGACAGGCACTCCCACACATCCACTAACAAGCAAGTCTAAGCACAAGCGCAACAAGAAGCATCAACAGTCGCAGCAGCAGCAGCCGCAACAGCAGCAAATTCGCAATCTGGGCACTCAGTCCAAGGCCTTCTATGACAATTGCGTGCTGGAGGCGCCCGATGGCGAGCTGCTCTGCACTATTGATCGTCGCAAGGCCTCTTGGTATTTGAACCAGAATCTAGGCACTCAGGTCAGCGAGCAGCCGTTCACAGTGCGCTTGAATTTTGAGCCGGCAGGTCGAGCTGTAGGAGACGTCGGCCGCTACTATCAGACGCCCAAGGAGAATCAATGCGTTGTATGCGGCCGTCGAGATGCCTATATACGAAAGAATGTCGTGCCACGCGAATATCGCAAACATTTTCCGGTTGTTATGAAATCACACACATCCCACGACATACTCCTGCTCTGTCCCAGCTGCCACCAATTGAGCAATATATCGGACAACAAGATACGTAATAAACTCGCAATGACCTGCGAGGCACCATTCGGCCATGGCGAGGGCGTCTCCAAGTACCATGATGATCAGCAGCTCAGGTTGGTATCGATCATTGCCATCCGCTTGCCACTCTAATGCGTAATCCTTTTCAGAAACGTGAAGTTAGCTGGGAAGGCTCTGTTGATGCAGAGCGATCGTATGCCCAGCCAAAAGGTTGCACAGTTGCAGAAGACCATTTTGGATTACTATACAGATGTCACTGAGATAACCCCAGAGCTATTGCAGAAGGCCGCCAAATTGGATTGCCGTGTGGCCAACGAGGATTACTGCCAGCACGGCAAGAAGGTCGTCCAGGTATATCGCGATAAGCTCGGTGGTCTCGTCGAGCTGGAGCGTTTGTGGCGGGAACACTTCTTACACACCATGCAGCCCAAATTTTTGCCCAAACTATGGAATGTCAATCATAATGCCAATCGCTTGGAGGTGCGTGCCAGCGAAGGGCGCATCGACAATGAAGATTTGGTTGTGGCAGGTCTAGAATCAGTAATTAGTGTAAAGAATATAGCTAGATCGTAATAGTGTGATAGTTTTTGTTTTTGTATATGTTTTGTACGTATTGTATTCAAATAAATTATAAATTGGCTTTCGCTACGTATAAATTACAAGATTCCAAATTCATGACAAAACAAAAAAGATAATTTTGCAGTCGCATGCACACCGACTGCACAATACTCTGTTTACGTAAAACGGTCATGCCTAATATATTATCTATACTTGTCACTAGTCTAGGAGCGATCGATCTATTAAAATACATTAATAGTGGTTTAACTTAATTATTTAAGATTAATTAAGAATGTTCTGTGATGTAAATGTCTTTAAGACATTATTTTATAAGATATTTCTCCGTTTAAGAACTCTTATACCTATAGATAAATTTAATTTTTTTTAAGAAGTTATAAAAACCTATTTAACAAAAAGTTTTTCCTTTTTAATTGAAATTTGAAACCTTGTCAAAGTCTTCAAGACATCGCAATATCTACACCAATTAGAAATAAAATGGTATCTTTACAAGACAATAAAAATTGTTGAAAAATAATAATAAATGAGATTTTTTCTATGCTAGTAATTTAGGCACCTTAGCTTCGCGCCACGTCAGTGATTAACAAGAATTATATTTAAGAATAAACAAAATTTGCAATTTTGTCTAACGAAATACTAAATAAGCGGACAGACACTGCTCCAAGCTAATAAACCCTTCTCACATTGTAAACAGAGTATTTTTAACAGCATAATTTATGGCATTTGTCTAAGAGCATCTCCTAACTGACATAACTTAATATTTAAGCTATATGTAAACTTGAAGCTAACATATATATACATAAACACATATATATATATACCGGATAATACACTATATACACGAAATATTACAGCAGCGACGCTTTGCTATATAAACTCAAAGCCCTCGTATTTATAGTCCGTCTCGACACGTGTCTCTGGCAATAATGTTTTGCCCTCCACGCTGAAGGCCGTCACAAAGGTGGATGTTTTGCCATTGAGCTCCTCCGATTTGAGTGCTACGATTATGGAATCCTGTGTGTTGGGCAGAAATTTGAAGCTGGAAAAACCGTGAGTAGGCGCCGTATTGGCAGCATCCAACTTGACTGTCTCTATAACATTAAAGTGCTCGTCCGCAGAGATTAGAATGTTGCAGCCCATGTGCTCGTCCATGGTTTCATTATATCTACGGACCAGAAAGCATTTATTAAATGCTAAAGAGTATTCGTGCACAAAACTCACTTTTCCTTGGAGCAGCGACGTGGCAGAAAATACCAGCGCTGATGAACCTCTGACCAGACGCAGCTCTCATGTATCATGTAGCCGGGCCAGCTTATCTGAAGAGATTCTAGACGCAGTTTCTTATAGTTTTCCACCCAGTTTAAGGATCGCACTTCGCCTGTCATGCTGATAGCCTTGACATACATGGGATTATTGTTTTCGTAGTCACCCATACTAGTTGTCCACTCTTTGCCCATGGAGCCCACATACAGAGTGTGCTGCTTTACCGTTGCCCACTCTGATTTGAAGCCTTTGGCGTTGTGGCCATTACCGTCGAGCAGTATTACCCAGGGTATAGCTTTTTCATTGGTTAGTTCGTAAATAAGCCCAGTTCGGTCATCGAAACTCAGCAGCTTTCCATTAAATGTGACTAGCTCGGAGAGCTCCATGCCACGTCCTTTCAGCGCAAACGAGGACTCCAAGGCTGTGGGTGCTCCAGCATCCCAGTTAATTTGTAGCTCATGCTTCTTTGGTAGATACGTGAGATAGCCCTTCTTTAGGTAGCTTCGCCACGTCGTGCTGCCATCGCCCTTAACAACTTTCGAGCTGGTATCTAGATCTGCTATCATAGCAATCCGATAGCTGATAACGCCGCCTTGCACACTCAGAGGCTGCGTCAATGGATACGTTGAGTTGTAGGGTATCGCGAGCACAGAGGTGGCTTCACTAGCATATTGGGAGCGCAGCCAGTATCCATCGGAGGAGCTGCGACTACCTTGGTGCGCGTATATAAAGAGCAATACTAGAACCACAGCACAAAACACAAGCAATGCAAAGTGATAATTAAACCGGACCGAGCGATTGCCAATTCGATAGCTTGGCGTACGCAGGGCGGTACGCCAGTCACGCATTAGCATGGTGCGTGGCGAGTTTTCCAAATCCCTGAATGCGTACGCCGTTTTTTGCATTTATAACTTTGAATTTTGGCAGCGTGGCAGCGAACTGGCAGTGGATGCAATCAACAAATTGAGGCGATGTGTCCGTTTCTGTTGTTTGGATTCCGCTAACGATGACATATCGATTACTGCCAACGAAACAAAACAGCTGATTGCTTGTTTGCTTTCGATAGTTGGACTGCAACGAGTATTGAATGCGATTCAAATCTGTTTGTAGTTAGCAAAAAGATTTAAAACATATATAAAAATCATAAATATAAGAGCTTAAATCTTTAAACATTTACCGTCTACGGCATAAATTTGAGGAAATGAACGGTGTTAGGCCAAATTTGTTATCTTGTGGAATAGCTGATGTAATGAATTTTAAAAGTAGTTCAATAAAAGGTTCATTTGAACTAAATTGGAAAAATCGAATTTTCCGTTCGCGATAAGCATCCATATGCTTTTATACTCTTTAGAACGAGTATATTAGTTACAAAGGTATGTTGCATCTGTTAAAAAATTATTTATTTTATTATTATAAACAAATATTTAATTCCAGGGTGGCGATATTGTCTCTTAGCTACAGAAGTGCCGTTGGAAAAGTTACAGAGAAATAAAATTTTATATTTAAAAAATCATAAATTCGGTGAAAATATAAGCATTAAAAAAATGTTGAAAATGTATAAATGAAATTAGCTACTATGCCGTTAAGGTTTACGAAAATAAAGAAAATATAATTTAATATTGGCGCCGGAATGGACCTTGTCGATGAAAAAGAACTGCTTAACTTATCGATATGCCGCCACACAGATGCCAGGTTGTAAACAGCTGAAATTAGTATCGATGCTGTCAACTGCGCCGGTCTTTTGGCGAATAAATCTAAATTTTTATTAAGTAAGTAACATACTTTACATTAAGTATGTGGCGGCGCTTTAAATACATCAAATCTATTACCATAGCCGCTATTCATAGTCGTCACAGCAGGACCATGTCTGAGCCATGTACAAACAGCAGTCAAGAAGCAATTGCACGTTTGCGGGAATTTGGATACGCATTCAATGAAGGTGATTATGCAAATAATTACAGTTGATGTCAGACATTCATTTACACTTATGGTTATGCAGCTGGCGAGCTCCGCAAAATTGATGCAGCTAGCGGAAAGCCCGGTGATCTGCCTTATGAATTTAAGATCAGTGACAATCCGGCTCTAAATCAAGAGCATTACGAGCAACTAGCCAATCAGATTCCCGATATTGTATATGAGCTACTGGAGAAAAATGGATTAAAGAGAACCTATATACCCATTGGAGAGCCCATTGAGCGTTCCACATTCGTATTCACACAGCCGCAACCTCTGGCCCAGTCGAAGAAGCTGCTTGTGCTCATCCATGGCAGCGGATATGTGCTGGCCGGTCAATGGGCAAGAAGGTAGGTGCTATATATAACCATAGGTCTATTTGCCTGACTGACTGTTTCTTTCTCACTGTTGCTCGTTTGTGATATGACTAATATTTGTGTTCTTTTTTTTTCTACTAGATTAATTATAAACAACTCTCTGGAACACGGCACACAGCTGCCATATATACAACGCGCACAGAAGCTGGGTTATGATATACTCGTAACGAATACGAATGACACCACACGTATTATAAATGGCAAGCGCACGCCTATCAAAGGCTTAGAGAATTCAATGAGTCATGCCGCTTACGTATGGGAGCATATCATCATGCCGTCGCAGCCCGAGAGTGTGGCCATAGTGGCCCACAGCTTCGGCGGCTCCGTGTGTAAGGCTTTGGTAAGTGAATAGGTATTCCAAATAGACTTTATAGTAATACTGTATTTGTGGCAGGCGGAAAAGTTTACAAAGTTCTTTAAAGAAAAAGTATTTGCCATTGCGCTAACCGATGGCACCGTGGGCCATCCGCCCGCTAGTTGTCAAAAATACTTTCTGGATGTAACCTGCAATTGGGTCTCCAGCACTGAGCCACTCGATACGGATCTAACACATGGTGATAAGGAAAAGAATTTAACTTGTGTATCGGCTGGACATCCGGAACACGAATGGACCTCCTCTGCAGCCATCGAGTCTGTCTTTAAGTTCCTCGAGCTAAAGCACCAGAAGTATCTAAAGACCAAGCAGTCCTAAGCCGCCTAGTGTCAACTTGTTACGCATTTCATCAAATTATCATATGTGATGTGCATCATCCCATCATGTTTGTGCATGTGACACTTATCCCTTTGCCCTAAGGACCAACACAAACTATCGATTTGCAATGCATAAATCAAACGGAGTAGCAGCATCCCATAACAAAACTCCCTCATAACCCACTTCGATATGTCACAAACACTCGCATCAAGGCAATTTAATTTGATTTTCGGCACTTTGGCACATTCCATGTGAGTTAATCAACTTGATGGCTGATGTATCATCGTTCACGATAAAACAAAAGTGTTTCTGATGTCCGTCCAGTCAACAAGCAGCTAAAAAACAACAAACCCACGTCCCCACGGTCAATGCTTAAAGTTGTTAGCTCGATAAGAACACAATCTAGCTGGGGTTGCTACAAAAAAAAAAAAAAAAGAAGAACCACATCATGTTTGGCTATGACGCCGGCATTTCCCAGCTACCCCCCACCCTTGCGCAAACCTTACGCATACCACATCATGTCGTTTAACAAAGTGCGTCATAAAAAATTGTCCCTTGTGAATTTGTTGGGCTTAAAGATTGGAACTCTCATTGCATACGCACAGATTTCAGGCTGCAGTTTTTATACACATACTGTAAGTATATAGAGGTAAAGTTGGTCTTAGGAATACGAATGAAATTCATAATTGATAAATACATAAAAATTAGATTTTTAATAAATACCCATAAAATGCCTGTCCCAGCCTACAAAAGCTGTCATATGATAATCATAAATTTTACTGATCATATTTACACTGTAATAAATCATCTATTACCAACTAAGATAATAATAATTGCGAGCAACATCTTAGTTATCACTCAATATTTACTTGTATATTAAACTGATACTTGTAATTTAATTACGATCTTTAGCATTTTGATTGAAGTTGAATATAAATTTAAATATCATAATTTTAATAGATTGCTTTTTATACGGTTATTTTTACATAACTTTTTAGTTGTTAATATTAATTTAAACAGATCGTCTAATTGAGATTGACTTTTCCATTTATTGAAAATAGTAATTTCCCATAAGAGGATTTTAAGAGGGATTTTGTTGATGATTTAGTAATTTGAAAGAAACAGTTAATAAATTGTCGAAAGCTGTAAAGCCTTTTAAACATATATTCTTGAAGCGTAAGATATACATAAAAAATTATTAATTATATATTTCTAATAAAAAGAGAATTTTTATTGCAAAAGTTAAAAGTAAAAGTAAATAGAAAACCGTAAAAAAGGGTAACATTCTGATTTTTCATTCTTTTTATAATTATTACTTACTAAGAAAATTCAGTTAACAAAGCTAAGTCCCCCAAGTAGTAACTCGATAAGTGCTGTTAGTAAGAGACGTTTATCTTTAGTATTAAGCTCAAAACTTAATACCCACAAAGCAGGAGCAGGCAATAAGAAGAGAAAGTGAGTGAGTGAGTGCGCGAGTGTGAGAGAGAGAGAGAGAAGGCTGCAGACAACAGCAAGCATTTGGTTGGGTCTGGTCCGGGTGGGTGGGACCGTAGCAACGGCAACCCTACAAATGTTGCTCCCTCCCTCCCTCTCTCTCTCCATCCCACTTCCCACTGTATAGCTATACCCGTCTTCCGCTTGGCTTGTATACATTATCGCTGTCATGGCCGCAGTCATGGCTTCTGCTCCACCTTAGGACACTCTATATGTATGGGGAGTCGACATCGTTCACTTCGTTGTCGTCCTATGGCAGGCAGCTATCTACACTTTGACTCACCCACACAGCGATACGAGGTTAGACGAGGATGGCATTAGTTTAGTCGGAGTGCGAGAGTTCGTGTATCCTTCGTATCCAAAGCTGGCTGTGTTTTGTGTGGGTTCAGGAATGGGTCATGCGCCTGGAGCATGTACATATCTCACTCATACATACACAATAGCTTCCCTCTTTTTTCTGCTCGTCTATATGGCAGCAGTAAATAAGAAGCGAGCTTCCCACTTACAGTAAATAAAAGGAAAAGTCACAGTTTTAGTTTAAATGAAGGCCAGCAATGCCCGCCTTAAGAAAAGGTTCCCTTTTTCGTTAACAATAGCCGGCAATTACTTAAAATAATCATTTTTGTTTTCATGGTTATTTGATAAGATCTTAAAGCGTGCGCATATATGTTACGGCCTTCACATGGCGAAGAAACTCTTGACTGCCGCGGAGGCTGGGATATAACCCTTCAGCGTGTTGATATCGAGGCTGTAAGGCTGTGAGGTTGTTTAGTGCGCGTGTATAAAGATTTTCATTTTAGATTGAGTTTTAGGCTTAAGACACAAATTTGTTTTCCTTTTGGATTTGGTTTACTTATGTTGAGAGAAGGAAAATCAAACAAATTACACGGAATATATTAGATGTACTGAAATGATAAATGATAAACAAGTAATGTATCGGCCTCTTCCTTATATACATTATCGTACATGCCTAATTTCTAATGAATATCTTCATAAATCAAAATTAAAATAGAAACTTGCAATTCTCTATAAAAAATGCAATTTTAAATAACGGATATAAAAAATTGAAGTCCCGCCGCAATATCCGTTGTTATTGTGCCTGGACTTTATTGCTTGAAAAAGTTCAAGCGATGTCATTCAAAAAGTCATAAATAATAATGTTTTCCAATAAATGTTCACATATGAGCGCGCACGCACTTGTCTCCCTCTCCCTCTCTCCCTCTCTCTTTCTCTCTCGCACACAGCAGGCGTAGGCGGTTGGCGAACCAATTGAGCCCACGCCACCCACCGCCCTCAACCACTGAGCCACAAGTGGATGCTGGCTCTGGCTTGTGCCAAACTCTCCGGAGTGACCGTTGTTGAACCTCGACTCGTGGCTTTTTGGCTAAAAGGGCGCCCCGCCGTGCCTCATAACTTACAAGGTCATTTTTACAAAGAACCATTAGGATTTTTTCTTTTTTTCTCTCTCTCTCTCTCTCCCTCTCTTTCGCTTTTTCAGGATTTTTCAAATTTTTTTATTTTATTTTTTTATTTTTTTTTTATAATTTAATGCTCATGTGTAGCGAATTTTTATGGCTGACAAATGATTGATGCGTTTGCTGGCATTTCCTGTTAAATGTCATTAAAAACGCTTGTTTTCAACTTTAAAGACATGACTCGTTATTTTAAAGGCAATTTGTTAGATTTCCGTTCGCCCGAACAATGGCGCCCCAGACGTCCGTCCGTCTTAAAAGCGCGCTGAAATGCAAGTTTAACGCAAAAATAATATCAAATAAGATTAGATAGCATTGTGTCGTCTTATGGCCATGCCTATACTTCGCCCAGGGGCTCAAGAAAGAACACGCAATTTTACAAATTGCATCATTTGCACCCCTTTTACTTGACAGCTGCTCAGAGGTGGCACAGTGGAGCAAGACTGGACGTTTAGAGTGCGAATTAAAACAGCTGAAATTATTTAAATTTAAAATTTGTAGTTTTCTATAAATTGTATTTAATTGACAGATAAAGCACTTTGAGTACTTGAGAAAAAAAAATAGAAATAAATAAATAAATAAAAATAAATAAATAAATAAAATAAATACATAAATAAATAAAATCACCAAAGGTGTAAGGGAAGCAAATATCAGTGTATACTGGGTGTTTATTGAAAACGTGTGTCTGAAGTTGTCATACTGTAATACAGAATTTTATAAAAACTAAAGCTAGTCAAATGACAGCTGCTATATACATATTTTGTTTTTGATATTCGGTTATTTTATTTTTCAACTTTTTCCCGGTTTTTGTATAGTCTTTGTTGGTTATGTCAAATATATTGATTCAGAAAGGTTATTTTTTAATCTACAATTTAGCATTTACACTTTTTTAATTTCAATTAATTTTATGTTTTATAGGCGTTTAAAGTTGAAGTTGAAAATAAAAAAAAATAAAAACAACGAATATCAATGTTACTCACTGTATATAAATAATATGTATTAACTTTTTCATATAAACGTAATATTAGAGCTGCGTCTAAATGAGTCTATAATCAACTATTTCCGAAAAGGGCGTTGCATCATTTTCTTTTATAACCCACTCATCTCAGCAACACAACAAATATATTCAACGAATTTGCTTATAATTTTCTCGATGTGCCCCACTGTGCTGGGCATTTTAAAATTCAAGCGCTGCCCGCCACAAAGCCACACAAATCACAGCAAATACAATAACGAAAGAGAAACCTCTGCCACTTGCCGGAATGTAAATGTTGTACAATGTTAAACTTATTTGCGGTTTATGTATCCTTGTTGCTGTTGTTGGTGGGCGGCTGAGGCGACAAAAAGGACCTCGAAAGCCAATAAAACGATTTTTTCCAGCCGACTATCTAAGTGCGTATATCTATGAATTGTAAAAGGACTATTGAAGTGCTTGGCCGCGGCCACTGACAGCCTGCGAGTCCTTGCCATCAACCCGGCCGCGATATAAGATAATAGTATCATCAACACCAGCAAGCAGCCCCCACGCTCCCATCTCCTGCCCCCAGGGCAACGCCTCGAAAAGGACACTGTCTGAGCATTTATTTATTTATTGTAGGCGTTGCTGGGWGTGGCCATGGCTATGGCTTCGCCTCTGCTGCATTGGGCACTCGAGTTCGGGCTGGGCTGCGGATTTAGTGGGTGTCAAGCAATAACAATGCGCCTTGGATTCATGATAAGAACTTTTTCTATAGCTAATTTGCATGGGATATCCCCGAAAAACAGGAAATGTTGCGGCAACTTTAAGCTTTTGAAGTTTGGCGAGTTTCTATTTTTTCTTTTTTTGCTTTTCGAGTGACAGATTTTTCACGCGCATTTAAAAAACATTTAAAAAACCATTAAGTGTATTCTTGAATCCGATTTTTTTCAGATTTGTTTGGGTTTTTTATTTTATTTTTTTTAACCTGCATCACACCCCATTTTTTATTTGTTTTGCGTACGTTTTTTTTCAGGACTGTCGCAGGTTTTGTTTTTTCATAATATGTGATTTATATACCCTGTAGGTAATAGACCTTTAGGGTTAAGGGTTAAAAAGTGATAAGAAAAGGTTTTCACAGCGAAGAAGACGAGAGTATTTATAATAAAAATTTTAAATAATAATAAAAA